ATAGTATTTTTTTTAAATTAAATAGTTTTGGGGGTAAAAAACATTTTTTCCTGGGTATATAAAATGTGTGTACTGATTTAGTAACTATTCGTATTATAAAAAGAAAAGCTATTACCAGCAGGAGAGTGGGTTTGTGTGTGTGTGGGGGAGGGGGGGAGGTGAGAACCTGGATTTGTGCTGGAAATGGCCCAACTTGATTATCATACACATTGTAAGGAGAGTGATCACTTTAGGTAAGCTATTACCAGCAGGAGAGTGGGGTGGGAGGAGGTATTTTTTCATGCTTTGTGTGTATATAAAAAGATCTTCTACACTTTCCACAGTATGCATCCGATGAAGTGAGCTGTAGCTCACGAAAGCTTATGCTCAAATAAATTGGTTAGTCTCTAAGGTGCCACAAGTACTCCTTTTCTTTTTGCGAATACAGACTAATACGGCTGTTACTCTGAAACCTATTTGTATTATAGTAGTTCCTAAAGGATCTGCTCTAAATCAGGGCTTCATGCATGTTAGGTCTATATATAGATGTATTAAGTGACTGCTCCGGCCCTGAAGAGCTTATGAGCAAGATGGGCAAAACAGACAAAAGACATTATTATGGAAGTTTTACTGATGGAAAACTAAGGAACTAAAAGATTTAAATGACTTTCCCAAGATCCCACAGGAAGTCTGGCAGAAACAGGAAGTGAGCCCAGATCTGAAGACCACATCTTTCCTCTCTACTTTGTGACCTAAGGTTCCATTCCATTTAGATCTCTCATAACTTCTCAGGAAAAATCCTTGTTGCCACTTTGTGAGATGTTCCCTCTTGTGATAGTCTCCTGCCCACCCTCCTGACTGGCTGTTCCATAGATCAGCTCTCGTCTCCTTCCCCACCCTGTTGTTCAAGGCTGTAAAATTCATTGGAGGAGTTGGGGCATCTGTCTACTCTGTTTTATCATCAGGCAATCTTTGCTGCCCAGGCCTCCTGTTGCTGTCATATGCCAGATTGTGTTGTCAGTGTGAGGCTTCCTAACAAGGAAGGTCGTCTTCCAGAAATGTAATACAGGCTTTCTTAATCAGTGCATGGATCCAAGTAGCAATATAGCAGGTTGTGGGATTTCTGAATGGAGGGAAACAGAAGGAGTTGTCTTTGGGGGAGGAGAGCCTCAAATTTCTAAAACTAATACATTTTTAAAAGACCAAGATTGATCACTTATCCACATTGACCCTCACTTTAAAAATGCAAAAGCAGAGTTAGCAAAATTCATTCCAGTTGCACTTCAATTCACAATATAGGCTCCTTTTCAAAAAGTTGGCCACCTATGCGTAATACGCGTATGAGCACTTAGTCTCATAGTGATCCGTTTGCATATGCAACTGCTGGATTTGTACACAGAATTTGGGAATCTAGTTTTGAAAACCTGGCACAAATATATGAGTGGAACTAGGCAAAACTACTTATTCTCTGTAGAGGGTGTCATGGCCATAAAATAAATTATAATTTTTAATGCTGTGGGGTCTCTCCTTTTAGAGCCTATTGTGTATCATAGATTGATAAAACACAGGTTGTGTTCTGACACACTATTTATTTTCCCATGGTTTTTGAGGATGTCTGTTTTTTTTTTTTTTGAGTATTTAACAGTCTGTTGGTATCTCACAGGATTTGCAATCACTTCTGTTTATTTAAATACCATTTACAGCTGGAAGTGTTTGTTTCTTCTTTTTAAATACTTGGGATTTTATCAACTATAATTCTGTAAACTCTGTTGTCCAGTCATCATTTTGAATTTGTTTATAGTGGACTAAGCAGTTTGCTACTTTTTTAAAGTTATGCTATTGGAAGCATTATAAACACAGAATAAACTATAGAAGAATGCTGCAAAATGTTCGATGTTTAAAAATCATAGAAGAATTCCTTGGTTATTCTTGGATCGTGTGTAATGTTGCTGCTGTTGTCATTATTTAAAGATTTATATTGGATATACTGATAGAACAAAACTATTTTTATTTCTCAGTTTTCAGCTTCACTAGCCTTCGGACTTCCCTGGAAATGCTGCCTCCTTATACCTGAATACAATTTTAATATAAAGTGGGTACTCGGTTTTGAGCATTCCTAACAACATTGTTTGAGCCAATGAGAGAGGCTTCTCTTTTCAGATTACTTTATAAAGGGGTATATCATAAGTAGATTGATTGTGTAATCTCTTTACATGTAAAATAGGGCCTGCAATGTAGGGTATAAATAAAACTAAGCCAAAATATTTACTGCCTGCAAGATGTGTTAGGCAACAAAAGATGGTGGCTTGCCGAAAATAAAGCGGATTGAATTAAAATAAATATTAAGTCATTTTAGTAGTAGTGTGATAGTGCTGAAAATATACTAGGCGCTGTGCAGGAAGAGACAGTCCCTGCCTTGAAGATATTTGTCTGTTAGCTGAAAATCCCTAGTGAAGACTAGAAAGCCAATATTTGCACTGGTGAAAATAGTTTTGCTTGAAACTGTAATAAACTCTACCAGTGGAAACAGTCGCTTTGACTGACTATATTAGAGGTGTGCTAGTGAAGCTACATTAGTGTCTGGTCACTGATAGCTGTAAATGAGGCTAATCCCCAGTCTACACATGGCTTATAAAAGAAGATTAAACAGATGAAGTGTGGGGAAAAGGGATATACCATGCAATCAAAATGCCCATGATGAAAATGGGTATTCATCTTGTTTAGTGGATTGTTTAGTTCCACAGTTTTGCTGTTTGTCTTAGATAGAAACAATCTGCAACTGCCTCTCCAGCCCCCATCATTTAATTCCCCATCTAACCGTCACTCACTGTCTCACAATTACATGAAGAATTATTTTTCAAACCCACTGAAATCCCACCTAAACTGTTTCCTTATCCATGCTTGCCTATCTGACCTCCCTTAAATCAGCAAACCTAGGTTCTTGTCACCCTCCTGCTTCTCTATTGGGAATCTTCCTCTTTCCACAGTCAGCTGCAGTCTGCCCCAGCCTTTGACAATCATCTGTTGCAACTCATTTTTAATCCCGGTTTATAAAAATTCCCTATCTGGTAAAACCACAACTTATTACGCTTCCTTAAAATCTACCCTTCTCTCCCTCCTGATCTCCTTCCCAACCAAACCCTGTGCCCATAAAACATGGTGAGCCTGAGTTTTATTTCTGTTCTTAGAACACTTCCCTCGAACAGCCAGGTCTTTCCACTGTGCAAGTTTCCTTCCACTCTGGAATTCTTGCCTGGGGAGGGTAGTGTCTTGGGCCCTATGCTGCATCGTGTGGGATATGGAGGGTGGGTTCAAACAGTACCATGTCCAGAGTTCAAATTTTGAAACGAAACTGTGATGTTACTGGGCTCCAGGGCCTCAGTGGCGCATTGCTTCTCTACTGCCTAACAGCAATCAGGGAAGGCCTCTCCTCAATCTAGCTCAGGAGGCTGGAGGGAGGAAGGGTGTATAAGAGGGGGACACTTGTGCCTCAGAGAGAGAGGTCCAGACTAGATGCTGTCCTCACCGGAACTACTTCTCTGCAGCTCAGAAAGTCTCTCCTGAGATTTGGGGGGGGGGGGGGGAGGGAGGGAGGTGGATTTTGGAGGGGTATATTTCTTCTCTCTGTTGAATTTCCTCTGATAGTGGATTGATTTAGTACTTATACCTGCAAACAAATGTTAACATGGGTGAAAGCTGTTTGCAGTCACATAGGCTTCCACCTCACTCCTCAGAATTGCATCTCTAGTTATCTCTAACACATTAGATCAAATACTTTTTAAAAAATGAGCTAGTAATTATAATAGTGGTCTGACCAATGCAACTTTCAAACCTTGCTGTAAAAGATTTCCTTTTTTTTTAAAAGGTGTTTCTTAATTGGTGCAAAAATCACTGCATAAACAACTGACTGTAGCTTTGCTTTTGACACTGTTTTGCCTTCAGTATTTAAAAGTTTCTTAATGTTGAAAGTAATCATTGGTAATCTTAATCTCCCAGTTGCTCCTGCAAATATAAGCAGCATTATCCTCTGTATTCTGAAACCAGGTAGCTCGAAGTTAAGCAATCTAGGTTTCATCTGGAGGTAAAGTTGCTATGGCTAGAACTTGATATTTCTGATTTTCTCTCTCTGTTTTTTTTTTTTAATATTAAAAAGTGAAACTAACCTACAAAAATTTTTTATGCTGTATATACCATAAAGGAGTGGAAAAGGGCACACACATTTTCCTTTGTAGTTTACCTTTAAACTATCAAGTGATATGCAATAAAGACTCTGTGCTTTAAGAGGTCCATAAGAATATTTATCATAAGAAACAAAGCAGAATTGAGAAATGTCCTGATCTTATATGGAACTTTATAAGTCAAATTACTTCACTATTTCCAGTCATATTTACTGGGAGAAGTAAAAGGCGGCATCAGAAGGGCCATATAACAATAAGTATTCAAAACAAATCGCAGTCAAAAGCTATTTATAGTAGGTAAATTTTCCTGTATAAAGATTTAACATAGAATATTGTGTAGCAAATGGCTTTCAGTTCTTTATTAAGCAAACTTTGAGAACCACATATTGCATGTTGTGCTGTAATCAAGTAATACTTTCATATGATCTGTTAAAATTAAATGTTTTATTGCAACATTTAGTAAAGAACTTTTGATATGATGGATTAAAAACCTCCCTAGTTTAAGGTATGGTCCCAATTTTGCAATGAGCTCTACATAGATTGACTTTTTCTTTGCCCACCCTCTCCCTCACCATTGAAGTTGATGATGTTGAGCATGCTATGCAGGGGTCCAGCTGTGTTGGTCTCCCTGTAGGATCTGAATTTATATGTAAGTATGTGCTAAGCGTTCATTATAAATATTTTATGTATTTATAACACAGTTGGGAAGCGCTGAAGAGATTGCCATAGATGCTACTATTTCTTAAGTTATTAAGTAAACTAAAACTAATTCTGCAGGAATTTTGTATTTTATGGTACAAAAACATATTGTCCTTATTTAACTTGTGCTGTCTTTCTTTGCAGGTGGATACACGGAGCATACCAGTGTTAGCAAAATGGCAAAATTCTTATAGCATTAAAGTTGTACTTCAAGAGCTAAGACGTCTAATGATGTCCAAAGAAAATATGAAGCTTCCACAACCTCCAGAAGGACAAACTTACAGCAATTAATTTTAGCTGATTCTCAAACTTCTGTCTTAAAACAACAACCTTCTACTCATATTAATGTCTTGATTAAATCTCACAATGCAAACCACCCACACATTAAAAGAATTTCAGCTGGTATACATGACCTGGACATTTGTAAGAATATATATATAATATATGTACGCCCAGTAAGTTTTTAGGCACTATGGGAGGAAAAAAAGGCAGCACAATTTATTTTTTTTCTCTTATCAAGACACTGTCATTTAAGTATAAGCCTGAAGTAGCTTAAAATTCAGGTTTTACAAGATGAAAGCATGACAGAAAGTGTCAGATTGCTGTGGATTAATGTGTTTCCGAAAATTAATCTCTCAAGAAGAAAAATTATAAATGGCATGCTTTATCCATCTGGCTTAGTAAAAGAGCTGCAGTTAAAATTGTTTTAAAGTAGCAGATACAGTGAATACTGTTGCTCATCTTGTTTAATTTTTGCTAAGGTGTGGGTGCCGACTACTATTGGTGTCACAAAGTATGTTCAGGATTGTTTTGATACCTGTATTTATAAAAGGGGGGAATGGATTCTGTTAAGCGGCTCCTGTGTGTTACATGTAATGGACATGGCAAATATTTGTTTACAGTCTTTGTTCTAATAAACAATGCATTTAAGTTTTAGTGAAACAAACAAAGGAAATAGGTGTATGGATATGTGATTGAGATTAAAGTTAGTCTTAAAATGTAAATAAAATGTGGAAAGTATCCTCTGAGGCTGTGCCATTTCTATAATAATGTAATATATGTATAGTACCTTGCGGAGGTAGCAAAAAGTTACCAATATAGAAGTGGGTCTACATGCACCTTTTATTTTTACCACTATTTCTATACGCTTATTTTATTTGATAACTGAAGGTATTGGGATTATTGCAGAGGAGCAAATTCCATAACCTGTAGTTACACTTGTTTGGGAAAACTTGCAGTTCAAAACCCTTTTTAAAAAATAAAATTAAAAAAATTATTTTAAGTATTCATTCTAGAAATGACATTAACTAGGCCACTTGGCCTAAGCAACTCCAGAGCAATTTCCAAACTGGACTGCTGAATTCTGTCCTGCTTCTGTGTTTTCATCCTAGGAACCATCTTCTGCAGCTGCTACCTTATTTTTCCATGTCACCTTTTTTCCCCCTGCACTTACTTTAACCGCTTTTTTTAAATCTTCAAACTGGTTTCCTTTTTGCTCTGTCTCACTTTCTCCTTACCCCAGCTTACACGTAAGTGAGAGACTTCAGGCCTTATAATTTTTATTAAAACATCTTATACTACTGTTAAGAACTGTGTGGACACGCCGTATTTATTCATCTGCATTCCATGCTTCAAGTGCCAATGGCGCTATCTCATTGGTGAGAATGAATTCAGCCCCTTCAACAGTCAGTCTAATTTTACTTATTCCTTTCTCACTTTAGCTGTAGTTGGTGACATTCATGGGTTAGTTCTGCTATAGGTTTCTCAGTGTTGTCCATGTTACCTTACTGGAAATGAGACACTCTAATCTCTTGTGTGGAAAATGCAAAGATTTATCCAGTTTACTAAAAAAATTGTAACCTTGGGAATATGAATAGAATATGACTTGTCATTCAAAACTTCATAAGTAATTCTCTTGAAAAAGTGAATTTAATCAAAAGCCATCAACAGCCAGGGAACTTTCAAGTTTGGTATCCTTATTGCCTATACCTAATGTGAAGAAAGAATTGTAAGAAAAGCAATAAACTAAGTTTTATTTTTTTAATAGAAAGTTTTAGGTGGTGATTGTCAGTATAGGAAAGCTGTATTTGAGAGTCCTTAAACACATCTGACACGTTTCCAGAGTTCACTCAGTGAAATGATAGCTGTCAGTTACCTCATGTCCATGTTATATAACACATCACAGTACATGATGGAAAATTTGACTGAAGTGATTTACCACTATGTATTCCTATTCCATAATTTTAAATTAATTTTAGATGTTTTGGATTCCACTAAATAAACTTTCATTATGCTAGTACTGCTAGTCTATATGTAATCTATTAAAATAGAAATGGAACTATGCAGCTCTGTTTGAGAAATAAATGTTAACTTTCAGGAATCTCTCTTTAGATTAAACAACTGGAAGAGATTGAGATACATTGCCAAACTGTCATATGGCTGGTGACAGACGACCAGTGTGAGTGTGAAGCCATTGAGAAACTATCTTACTCTTCACTGAGTCTCTGAATATAAAAGTGTTGGCTTTCTGTTTGCACCACATGTTGTCCAAGTTGACTGTGCAATGTCTGTTTCTCCTTGTCTGTTCTTTAATTATGGATCTCTGTGGAAATCTGCATGCCAGTTAGTTTTTGAGAGCAAGATCCATTTTGCATGTTGCAAACAAGCTGCACTTGATTTTCAAACAGCCACACTGGTTGTACCAAGGGGTAGCTACAAAACTACTCATAATAATGAAATCTAAGCAGGGAAATTTTGAAGCAATATTCCCTTTGTCCTATTGAAAAAAGGCTAGAGTTATAGGAGTGTGTAGTTTATCATTAAATAAACTTTTAAAGTGGCCATAGATTATTGTACATAGGTCAATAGGTGAGACCCTTAAGGATGATTTTCTACTATTAAAAGATTCAAAACATAACTGCTTGTCCTCCAATTAGGTCACATTATGGTTTGATAAGTGTCCAGTTTTTTGTCTGGTAATTTATTTTCTGTGCTTTTTTGGGGGGTAATTCTTCAAACCAGGTTTTAAAAAATGTATTACTATGTTAGTATTATGATATAATAGGATTTTTAAGCATGGGTTTTCAATGGTTAGTGGCTTGAAATTAAAAAAAAAAATTCTTTGGAATTAACTGTATTTGTGCTTTTTTGTAAGTACAATACTAGGGTAAATAGAGCACCAATTTAAAACAAACCACGGGGAGAGGGAAATTCGGAAGCTCCACATGCAGCATGTTTTCAGACTATGTTGGAGAATTGTTATAATAGAAGTGATCTTTAACTGGAACTTAAACTTGTGCTGTCCTCTGATACCTACCAAATGTGCTAAATTAAATTCTGCTGGCTAAATGCATAACAGGAGAAAAATTTACATATGTTCTATTAATTTCATGTATTGTAGTAACTTACTGTTTAAAATGTAATGAGCTGCCCGTTATTTCTACTACCTGTGCTATTTCTAATCTTTTGTATTCTTTTACATTTTGCAAGAAGGTGCAAAGTATTGACATAAGGCCTGACCCTGCAACATGCCCGGCGCACTCAAATGCCCTTAAAGTCAATCTGAGGCTGTGTAGCACCTTGCAGGGTTGGGCCAAGAGTGAGAGTCCTTAAACCATTAGTAAAATAGGGTTATGGATGTCCAGCCAGTCTTAAGCGTTCGTTGTTGTTGTGAATACATGTAAAAATTATGATTAGGGCTGTCGATTAATCGCAGTTAACTCACGTGATTAACTCAAAAAATTAATCGCAGGTTTAATCGCACTGTTAAACAATAGAATACCAACTGAAATGTATTAAATAGTGATTTCAATTACAACACAGAATACAAAGCGTACAGTGCTTGCTTTATATTTCTTTGATTACAAATATTTGCATTGTAAAATGATAAAAGAAATAGTATTTTTCAATTCACCTCATACAGGTACTGTAGTGCAATCTCTATCGTGAAAGTACAATTTACAAATGTAGATTTTTGTTGTTACATAACTGCACTCTAAAACAAGACATTATAAAACTTTAGAGCCTACAAGTCCACTCAGTCCTACATTTTTGTTCAGCCAATCGGTCAGACAAATTTGTTTACATTTACAGGGGATAATGCTGCCCACTTCTTATTTACAATGTAACCAGACGGTGAGAACAGGCATTTGCATGACACTTTTGTAGCCAGCATTGGAAGATATATACATGCCAGATATGCTAAACATTCATATGCCACTACTGGCTTCTGCCACCGTTCCAGAGGACATGCTTCTATGCTGATGATGCTAGTTTAAAAAAAAAATGCATTAATTAAATTTGTGACTGAAATCTTCGGGGGGAGAGGGGGCAGAATTGTATGTCTGCTCTGTTTCACCCGCTTTCTGCCATATACTTCACGTTATAGCAGTCTCAGATGATGACCCAGCACATGATGTTCATTTTAAAAACACTTTCACTGCAGATCTGACAAAATGCAAAGATTTCTAAAGATAGCTGCAGCACTCGACCCAAGGTTTAAAAATTCAGAGTGCCTTCCAAAACTGGTTTATGAATGTTCTAATTCTTGACATCTGATTTGTGTCCATTTATTCTTTTACGTAGAGACTGTCCAGTTTGACCAATGTACATGGCAGGGGGCATTGCTGGCACATGATGGCATATATCACATTGGTGGATGTGCAGGTGTGATATATGTGATATACCAATGTGATATTTGCCATCATGTGCCAGCAATGCCCCCTGCCATGTACATTGGTCAAACTGGACAGTCTCTACGTAAAAGAATAAATGGACACAAATCACATGTCAAGAATTAGAACATTCATAAACCAGTCGGAGAACACTTCAATCTCTCTGGTCACGCAATCACAGACATGAAGGTCGCTATCTTAAAACAAAAAAAACTTCAAATCCAGACTCCAGCGAGAAACTGCTGAATTGGAATTCATTTGCAAATTGGATACTATTAATTTAGGCTTAAATAGAGACTGGGAGTGGCTAAGTCATTATGCAAGGTAGCCTATTTCCCCTTGTTTTTTCCTACCCACTGCCCCCAGACGTTCTGGTTAAACTTGGATTTAAACTTGGAGAGTGGTCAGTTTGGATGAGCTATTGCCAGCAGGAGAGTGTGTGTGTGTCCCCCCGGGGGGGGGGGGGGGGGTTAGAGAGCCTGGATTTGTGCTGGACATGGCCCACCTTGATTACCATGCACATTGTGAAGAGAGTTGTCACTTTGGATGGGCTATTACCAGCAGGAGAGTGAGTTTGTGTGTAGGAGGGTGAGAAAACCTGGATTTGTGCTGGAAATGGCCCAACTTGATGATCACTTTAGATAAGCTATTACCAGCAGGACAGTGGGGTGGGAGGAGGTATTGTTTCATGATCTGTGTGTATATAATATCTGCTGCAGTTTCCACGGTATGCATCCGATGAAGTGAGCTGTAGCTCACGAAAGCTCATGCTCAAATAAATTGGTTAGTCTCTAAGGTGCCACAAGTACTCCTTTTCTTTTTGCGAATACAGACTAACACGGCTGTTACTCTGAAAGGTATATATCATGTCCAAATGTTGAGAACATAAAAGTATCTTATTTATGCTTCCAAGTTGGGAGAAAATACAGAAAAGGATCACACATGGCCAAGACTATACATTTTATTAATATTCAACCATGCCCACTAAAGGTGTTTTGCATTTCTGTTTTTTTCTTTTTGAAACAATATTACTCTTTCTATAAGAATGAATGTGGTGTGCTCAGTGGTTAAAATCAGCAACTTTTTTTATTTTGGTGGTGATGGCATTATTTATTAAAAAATAATAATAATACAGTGTATTTAACATGTCTGTACACTTCAACTATAATGCTAAACTGTTACAATTGAATATACAGTTAATTTCATTCTATGGATTAATAGGTATGTCATACCTGCTCTTTAAGTAGCATCCTCCTGTTTAAGTAGTTTCATTGATAATTTTTTAATTTCGTTAGCATTTTTAAAAATGATGAAACGTAAAGCAAGACAATTTTTATTTATGCTGTT